GACAGTGAGGGAGAGAGAGAGTGAGTGAGAGAGAGAACGAGAGAGAGGGAGAGAAAGAGAGAAAGAGAGAGAGAGAGAGAGAGAGAGAGAGAGAGAGAGAGAGATAGTGAGTGAAAGAGAGACTATTATTTATAGAGGACTTCATTAAAGTGCATGCCCACTACTGAGAGGGCGCCACATGCACACAAACGTGGCCATCTGTCAGGGAGTCTACTGTTGCCATGGTTATGCGCGGCGTCAACACCGAGTAACGACCTTGGTGACGTGGTTAGAGGTCAGTATCAGTCACTACTAACTAAAGCATCACACACACAGTGAGGGAAAGTCACACACACAAACGCGCGCGCGTGCGCACGCACAACCACCCCCCCCCCTCACTGTATTTATCCTCGCAGTGGCAGATCCAGAAGTGAATTCTAGGAAGGGGTGGGGGTTGAATCGTGCGAGCTCAAAGGCACGAAGCACCCGAGGGGGAGGGTGTAGGTTAAAATACCCTTGCCCTAAAAATTCTAGGGGGTGACCACCCCTGTGCCCCCCTGGATCCGCCACTGTGCATGTAGTGCTGCACAAGGAAGCCTCAGCTAAGATCAATCGATGCAGACATGCATCAAATTTTATATGAGTGTATATATACGTATACGCATATGTGTGTCTATATATATATGTGTATATCAATAGTACATAATAGAGATGTCTATTATGTACTCTTGATGTATATATATGTCCACGTCATGTCATTAAAACCTACAATTTAGTCGTTTTTTTTTAAATCAAAATTAAATTCTTTACTGCATATATACGCACACAAAAACGTCAATGCTACGAATATAATATATCACGTACAAAATACTCGCATAATATATGTAATATAATCTACACAAATTTTGTATATAATATTGTTATAATTTTGTAGATATCTAAGTTTAGTTATACGCTGCACTGAACATTGCAGAAACGCAATCTACGCGGATGCGCATTTCCAACAACTCGAAGTTTTTTTTACGCAAACATGACAACTAACGCCTGATAAAACTATGCCACCTCAAAATATAGTAGTACCCACCATTTCATTAGTTCACAGAAGGAAATAACAGTATAACAGTTATTATAATAACTACTATGTACTATGTACTTCTGATTAGATCGTTGTTGATTCATGGAATTGCGAGAGTAATAAACATAAATAAACAAAGGTTGAAGTGCTCTCTTCGATTGTGCGTGATCGCATTTCCAGTGCCACTTGTTTTCTCGCCAAAATGGCCGTGGCTCATCTGCTGTCATGACGCATGTGTTTAGAATAGCACTAGGGGGCATGGGTACATAGAACACGTAAGATTCAATGCCTACTCCATTCACATTCCCATTCACATGCCCATCCATCCAGCAGCACAACCAGCTGTAGTGTGGGTAGGTGCACGCACGTGTACTACGGTAATACAAGTGACGCTTTATTAGTCAATTAACTCTATAACTGTGACTATAATTGTGTTAGAGGTGAACCAAGGTCAGTCAAGGTCAAGGAGTTCTAGAAGCAATAATCCAAGACTAGTATCGGTGCAGGAACAGCGCAATAGTGTACAAATGTCCCCAGAATGGTACTCTATAAACATCAAAGTATAGGTTCAGGAATACTGCAATACAGATGCCCAAGGTTTCGTATTACCGTGTGCTGGGGGCAACTAACGGCACAGTAGAAGTAGAGAAAAGTAAATAACGAATTTAACATGATACCCGGAGAGAAGAAGTTTTTGTTTAGTAATGTTAGGGTAAAAGTTCGAAGGACAAAACAAAATATAGGTGTGGTTACGGTTTCCCGACCAACCCTATTTATTCCCAGCGACACTAAACATTTTATTGTCAATTTTCTTTAAAGTAAAAAAAAAATAATAATAATAATAAT